CACACACACGTACACACACATACACACTCACCCATGAATACACATACACACACATGCATACACACACACACATACACATACACCATACACACACATACACACTCACACACACACTCACATACACATACACACACACATACACATATACACATACACACGCGCATATACACGTGCATACACATACACCATACACACACACACACTTATACATACAGATACACACACAGACACAAACACACATACACTGACACACTCATACACACATACACACATATAAATTCACACTTATACAGATACACACACATAGACATATACACACATACACTCACACACATGCACACACATACACACATAGATATATACACACTCACATACAAATACACATGTGTACATACAGATATACATATGTACACACACATACACTCATGTGCACACTCACACATACACAAATGCATGCATGCACATACACACATACACACGCACGTACACACATATATACACTCACACACACTCACACACACACACATATACACACACCAGTGACCCCGCCCCGCCTGGTGGCAGCATCGGTCCCTTCCCAGCATCCACAGGCTCAGCAAAGCCTAGAGAAGAGCGTGGGGGTCCTTGGCCTCCAGAGGGCAGACCCCCACCCCGTGTCTGCATCTGGCCCTCCTCCTAGGCCTCTTGCCCCCAACCCCCGCATCCTCGCCTGTCGGAGGTCCCTGCGGGCAGGGGGCCCAGAGGCACCCCACAGAAGTGGAGCAGGGGGCGGAGCACGCACGCTCCCTCGGAAGCCGCCCCCCACCTGACGACATGGTTCCGGCAGGCCAGTCTGGACTCCGAACACCGGGCAGTGCTTCCCTCGGATCTGAATGTCGCCTGTGCGGGCTCTGGGCAAGTTCGGCCCCTGAGTTTGGTCCTCAAGAACGACAGCTCCGTCCTGGGTGCCCAGGGCAGGGCAGGCGCGGGGGCTCCCAGGACTGAGGCCACATTCGGCTCAGCCGGGACAGGGCTGACTCCAGGCAGCTGGCGGCCTCCCTTCTGCTCCCACCCCCCCACCACCAGGTCCTCGCCGTAGGACGCAGCCATCCGACCCCCCCCCCCGGGTGGTCCAAGGGCTGATGGAGCAGCCGGGACGTGGGCATCGCGGAGAGGAACACCAACCACACTCTGATGGTTTCTGACCTGAGACCCCTGCCCAGAGCAAGCGGCCCAGCGCATGTTTGGTGGACACAGGGGACTCGGGGTGTGGGGAATCTGTCCAGGGGCCCCGCCTGAGGCCACCCCTGGGATTTGGGGTGTCCCCACTCCCAGAGATGGCCTGAGCCCCGCTGCCCCACAGGGGAGACACGGGAGGCCCAGAGTCCAGTAGAAGAAGACCTTGAGGCCGTGGGCTCCCCGGGCCGGCCTGTGGGGACCCGGGGCCCTGGACACACGGAGCCCTGCCTAAGGGGGTCCCAGCTTTGTGGCCAGTTTGAGGCCTCAGAGCCCATGGTCCAGAAGCTTCTCCAGGCAGGCACAGGAGGGGCAGGGGTGGTCGGGGAAGGCAATTAGGGGAAGGTCCCAGGTGAAGGCAGAGGCAGCCTTAGGAGGCCAGGCTGCATCTGGTCGACCTCTAGGACACCCTTTCATGGCCCCTGGCCCCAGGCGAGGCCTCCCTGGGCCCATCCAGCCACACACCCAGAGCCAGATGAAGCCACGTGGCCACAGAGCCTTTCAAGGACTCCTCGTGACCTGAGGATGAAGCTCAGCCTTCCCCACGAGCCGTGAGTGTCCTGGCCACCCAGCCCACCATGTCCCAGGCTTGCCGGCTCTGTCTGACCCAGACACCACCCTCTTTCTCCCTCTGGGGTCCCTCTGCCTACAAGGCACCCAGCACCCTGCAACCCCGGCAGGGATTCCTGAATCAGGGTGAGCCCCAACCTGGTGGGGTGCCACGGAGCCCTGGCCGCCACTCCTAGCGGCCCCCTCATCTGCCCCAGCCCCTTCTCTCCCACCCGGTCTCACCTCTGGGTCTCTGCCTGCAGCCCTGCCCCCTCCCCCTTGCAGGGAGGACCCCCACCCCTCACTTAGGTGTCAGGCCCCACGGCTACTTCCTCCCAGGCGCCCTCCTGACACGCACTGCCACCAATGCACGATTACCTGGTCAGTGTCTGTCTTCGGCCGCGAGAGCACGCTGGGGGTTGCATGTTCCCCTGAGCGGCTAGCGCAACGCCCAGCCCATAGTGAGCGCTCAGCCCACGTGGGCACGCTGCCATGCGTCGCAGCCCGGCATGCACACCCCTGCACACACCCCGTGTCCCTGCCACGCACGGCTCTCCGAGCACGTCCACACGGACATGCTGGACTCCAGGCACACACATGCATGCACGTGCATGCTTGCACTCACTCCCAGCGTGATGCACACATGCCCCTCCACACACAGGGCGCTCACACTGCGCACACACGGACACACACAGCCGAGCGTGCTTGCTCACGCCGTCCCCGCCACCCTCACTCCGACAGGCGCCTGAGCTGCTGTTTGCCGCCTCTGCCTGCCGGCGTGTTTGCCAAGCAGTTTCCATGGCAACACATCTCAGCGCGGCCGGGAGCAGGGAAGACGGCCTCCATGGAGGGGACGAGCCTCGAGGTCTCCACATCCACCAGCTCCACCGGCAAGCAAGGGCGGGTGCTCCCTGAGATGGAGATGCCACCCCTGCCCCAGCCTGGATGAGGCTGGCACCTGAGGAGGTGGCTCTGGAACTTCTGGGCTACATGCTCCAGGGCGAAGGTCACTCAGTCATTCAACAAACCCTGTATGCCGGCTGCACAGCCACCTGAGGCATGGGCCTGGCTCAAGGAAGCTCATGGTTGTGCCCTGAGGCCGGACTGTCGTCCCAGCATCTGGCTGAAGGCCCATCCCACAGGTCAGTGGTCCCTGAGCACCAAGGCCTGGCCACCCACCCTCTGCTCACATGGGCAAGGAAGCTGAGCTCCTCCCCACCACCACTACCCGCTGGGAGACCAATTGCAAACGCGACCCTGACCCTGCATCCCTGCCTGAACCATCAGCCTCTGTGCCGCAATGCCTGTGAAGGAGGGAACCTGCCCCGTACTGGCCTTGGCCATCCGCGGCGACAGTGACACCCTGCCAGGTCTCAGCCGCAGGATGGCGTGCTTCTGCCTGCTCTCCCGTGGGCTCCTGCGGTAGCAGGAGAACAAGCCTGGGCTGGTCTGCAGCAAGGTGAGGAGACACGGGGCCTCCTAGCTGAGCCCACCCCCTCAACCCGCCACAGAGCGAGCCCAGAGCAGCAGTCATGACAGGTTGGCCTCGAGACCCTTCAGATACAAGAAAATGTGGTTTTAAGTTGCTGGCCTGAGACTGCTTGTTACACAGAAGTAGCTAACAGACATACCCTCTTCCAAAGGCCTCATGCAGTCAGCACAGACCAGAGCGTGTGGGCTGTCCACGGACTGCCCTGTGCCTGAGTCTGGGGATGGAGAGGACCACTGCTGCCTCCTGGGAGCCCGCAGCACTTAGGAGAGGTGGGGTGAGCCGCCCAGGCCCTGTGATGTGTGCGAGCAGGTGGGCATATCCACAGAGCCTGGCTGGGGCAGAGCTTCCCGTTTCCCTCACCTTGGACACCTGTTTGCAAACATTACTTCCTGGGTAACTGCACGTCAGTTCAGTTCAGTTCAATTCAGTCGCTCAGTCATGTCTGACTCATTGCGACCCCATGGACTGCAGCACACCAGGCCTCCCCGTCCATCATCAACTCCGGAGTTTACTCAAACTCATGTCCATCGAGTTGGTGATGCCATCCAACCATCTCATCCTCTGCTGTCCCCTTCTCCTCCCACCTTCAATCTTTCCCNCATTGCAAGGTAGATTCTTAGCCACTGGACCACCAGGGAAGCCCACGCTTTTACTTCTAATACTAGTAATTGTGTCTTCTTTTTTTCTTAGCCTGGCCAGAGCCCTTTGTTGTTTAGCCGCTAAGCTGTGTCTGACTCTTTCCAGACCCCGTAGACTGCAGCCCGCCAGGCTCCTCTGTCCGTGGGATTTCCCAGGCAAGAATTCTGGAGTGGGTTGCACTTCCTTCTCCAGGGGATCTTCCCGACCCAGGGATCAAACCCTCATCTCCTGCATTGGCAGGCGGGCTCTTTACCAATGAGCCGCTAGGGAAGCCTAACTCGAGGTTTACTGACTTTCTTGATTTCTTCTAAGAACCAGTTGTTGGTTTCATGATTTCCTCTATTAATTCCCTGCTTTCATTGATTTCTGCTCTAACTTTCTTTTCCTGTCCTTTGGGTTGAATTTGTTCTTTTCCTGGTTTCCTAAGGTGGAAGCTTAGTTTATTGATCTTAGATCTTTCTTCTTGTCTCATACATGTATTCAATGCTATAAATATCCCTCTGAGCACTGCTTCGCTGCAGTCCATAAATTTTGATAAGCTATAATTTCATTTTAATCCAGTTAAAAATACTTTTAAGTTTCTCTTGAGATTTCTTGACTGTGCAGTGTGCTTTAGAACACTGAGACTCACCTCCGGGAGGCAGACAGTAAAATCCCCATTTCACAGATGAGGAAGCAGGTTCACCCAGGGCCACATGGCCGGGAGATGGCAGAGCTGGGCTGGGGTGCCTTCTGCCCGGTTCCGAGGACCAGCCTGGAGCTAGACTCTGCTGATGTCACGAGTGACTCTGTTGCCTGGCCAGTAAGCGCTGAACCACTACGAGGTCGGGGGGTTTGGAGACTGAAAACCTGGATTGGTTGGGCCTGGGGTCACTAGCCTCAGGGTCCGGGGTCAAGGACCCCTCTCCGCCTGACCTGTTGGCTCTCTGGCCCTGGGTGTCCCTGGGGCATGGTGGGATCCAGGCAGAGGAACCCCCACCCCAGGCCACGGAGGCATGTCGCCCCTACGCAGAGGACCCTCCCCGGCTGCGTCTCTGAGCCCCACGGGGCCCGGGGCTGCCCCTGGGCCATCTCGGAACTGTGCTGACTCACTGGTACTGTCACAGGACATTTATTTTGTGTAGAAAATAAGCCATTTCTTCAACAATGCACCAAAATGGGGACTCTTTGACCTTGCTGGGCTCGCCTGGTCCTGGATCCCCTCGAGGGTCCCCTGTGCCCTGGCCAGACCAGGGTCCCCAGCAGGGCAGGGCCTGAGGAAGGGCCGTGGGGCCACAGGGTCCCGGGGAGGCGCCGCCCAGCCGATCAGTAGCAGTCGGCCTCGTTATCTCCCAGGACGCCCACGGCGGCCAGCACGTCCTGCAGGAGCGACTGGGGGCTCCTCTCCACGTGATCACTGCTCTCGGCCAGGGTGTCCCGAAGGGCCTCTAGGTCCATGGACCTCAGCACGGCCAGGACGGCCTCGGGTGCCAGCTCCCCCAGGGGCTGACCCTGTTCACCGGCCCGCCACCTCTGCAGGGCGGCCTCCACGGGGGCCACGTCGGGACTGTCCCCCGCCTCCTGCGGGCTGCTGGAGGGAGCAGCCTTGGCCCTCAGGAAGAGGAGGAGGTCACAGGACTTCTGGGCCACAGGGCGGTCACAGTCAAACAAGGACCGGAAGGCGAACTCGAAGAGCTGGACCCGGCAGAGCGCCCGCAGGGCCTGGGCCAGCGCGCCGGGCGGGGCTGCCCCGGGGCTGCGGGCGCCCAGCAGCTGCTGCAGGAATATCAGCGCCAGCTCCAGGCCCTGGACGCGCACCTCCCAGTCCAGGTCCCCGCTCGCCGCCTGCAACACTCGGGCCACGAACCGCTCCCGGTCCTCCGCCACGGCCATGTGGCCGTCCCGCAGCCACTCCGTGAAGACCCGCATGGCGGCCCGCCGGGGGAACCCCTCCGAGTCCGTGGTCAGGACAAGCAGAAGCTCCTCGAGTGGGGTCTTCTGGAAGACAGTGCGAGGAGGGTGGGGGGGGCCGGGCACCAGTGCGGCAGGGCGGACCCCCGAGGGACCCCCGCGGGAGCGCTGGAGCTCGGCCTGCTCTGCCTCCTTCAGGCCATGTGCCCCTGGGCCCCCCACTATCTCACCTGTCAAACGGGGTGACTATATCCAAGTGACAAGGGTGCAGGAGGCCGAGCGGGAGACTTAGGGGACCTGCCCACACCCGTGGCAGGCCCGCGTTACCCCGGCTGTTAGGGCGCTGGCCAGGGGCGGGCCGCGGGGCCACGGGGCCCACAGTGTCCTACCTGTGGGCCGGCCGGGTGCTCAGGGCTGGAGGGGGCGGCGAGCAGCCCCTGGCTGGACAGCTGCCCTGCGGCGGCCACTGCGCTCGCACGGACGTAGCTCTCGGGGTCCTGCAGAAGCTGGCTGGCAAGCTTGGGCACCTCCGAGGCCAGCAGTGTCTGTCTGAAGCCGGCCTGCCCTGGGGGTCCAAGCAGCCACAAGCAGCAGTGACCAAGTGCCGAGCCCACGGCCCCGCCTCGCTCGCCCAAGGTTCCCACGACCTGGGGGTGGCGGGGTGCCAAGGCCGGGCCGGCCCCCAAACCCTGCGCTCACCTCCCCAGCGTCTGGTCATCTGGGTCAGGAACTCAAGGCCCGAGTCCCTCACCTCCCAGCAGGGGCTACACAGGCGCTTCTGCAGCACAGCCAGCAGCTCTGGGGCGGGGGGACAGCTCAGAGGGGCCCGCCCAAACCACTGTGCGTCCCTCGGCTCCCCGGGGGGCAGGGGGCAGGGGTTACCTCTGAGAACCAGCTGGGCACGGGGCTCTAGGTCACAGCAGCCGGGGGGCACAGCTGAGCTCAGGAGCCAGCGGAGTGTGGCCTGGAAGGCCTTCTTCAGAACCTGGGGTGGCAGGGCGGGCAGGGGTGAGCCGGCCCCTGCCCCGCCCAGCGCCCTCTGCGCCCGCCCAGCCCTGGGGTGTGCGATGGGGATGGTGTGTGGGGGGAGAGGGGGCCTGGGCCCAGCTTCTGTGAGGCAGGAGCCTCTGAAGGAGGTGGACGGGCATCAACACGAGACAGAGAAGAAGGTGGCTCTCCTCGGGACCCCTGGTTCCGGGGACAGGCGGACCAGCAGGGCCTTTTCCTGAAGGCCTGCTGTCTAACTCCCCCCACCCCACCGTCTGCTCAGCGCAGGAGCCGCTGACCCTGCACCTCACAGCGTGGCAGCCCTGGGAGGACGGGGAGGCCCGCAGGGAGCCTCAGGGAGCTTGGACCCCGCGTGTTAGGCACAGCCGGATCCAAGCTCCATCTCTCAGAGAATTCCTGGGAAGACTGGGCCCTCTCCCGCTTCCCACGGCCCAGCAGCCCCTCCCTCAATCTCCACCAGCGTCCAGCCCTGGCCGAGCCCCAGGCAGCTGCCTGCCCACCCCTGCCCGCCCCGCCCGTACCGTGGGGCTGGAGTCAGGGCTCATGAGGTACTCCAGCAGGACGGCAAACACCTGCGTCACCAACTCCCGTGGGCCTGAGACGGATGTGCATGGGTAAAGTGCCCAGCCTGCCACCCTGGGGCCTCCCCCGCCCGGAGGTGTCACCCAAGGAGAACGGGGGCACAGACTCCCTCAGTCAGCTGAATCCCACCTCTCCCGGGAGGAGATAGGAGATGACAGCGGTCTCGGGACACCGCTGAGCAATGCCCGAGCTGTGCAAGAGAACGTGTTCTCACTTACCCAGCCCCTGAGACAGGACCCCCAGGAAATCCAGGGCAGCTCGCTGGACGCGGACACAGCCCACCAGCATCGCGCACAGGCGGCCCCCCACCTCGGAGCTGGGGGCTGCAGAGCCGTTGCAGAACCGCAGTATCGTCACCGCAGCCGCAAGCAGGGGCGCCTGGGGCCAGGGCGAGGGGCGCTGGGGCTGGGGCGGGGAGGGAGCGTCAGTGCCAGCTGCAAGTCCCGCCGCCAGCGTGGACGCGGGCCGGGCCACACCTACCAGGGGCTGCAGCAGCTCCAGGTGGGCCAGCGTGCTACACAGGAGACCCACGCACGCCGACTTGGAGGGCGGGAGCATGTCCACGGCCATCGGGTCGCCTGCGGCCCCCTCCAGCAAGCCTACAAGCGACCGGACACGGGTCCCAGTGAGCAGGCACCTCCCGCAAGGCCACTGGTCACTGAGTCCCACCAGAGACTGGGCGGGCAGCCCCAAGCAGTGGCCCTGCTGGGTGACGTGTGGTCTGAACCTGTCTGCAGGGCTCTCAAGCAGAGTTCCACTCTCCCAGCAGCCCGTGCCGGGGCCAGCTTATGCTGGTCAGAAGGTCCCTCTCTCCCTCGACATGGGGCTACTGGGCACAGCGGGGTCCCCATGTCTAACCCCCAAACCGTCATGCAACTGAAACAAGACGAGCTGTGGCCGAGGAGACCCACTTTCCCATCACAGAACAGACGGTCTGGGAGCATGAGTGCCAGGCCCAGGTGCCCGATGTGGGTCAGGAATAGTCCACGCGGCCAAGGCCCCAGTAACCACCACCGACTGCAGGGTCAGCGGCTCTGGGGCCCCCTCAATGATGCCGTGGGGCGGGACTGGGGGGAGATGCTGCCCTAAGAACTCCTAAGCAGGCACGCGAGCCAGTCACTGCCGAGACAACGCCCACAGCGCTGCCAGCTTCACTCCTGGGTGGGGAGGTAAGCCAGGCACCGCGATGCCCACCGGCCTGGCCCAGCCCCAAGGACACGCTCAGGGTTCTGCCTTCCTACACCCGCCCGCCCTTCCCCAACAGCCTACCTGGTGTTCCAGGGGCCTGAGCAGTGGCTTCCAGGACACAGGCCAGGGGCCGGAGGAGGATACCGAAGGCCTGGGTCCTCAGCGCCTGGGGACTGAAGATAGGACAGGGTGAGGCTGCCCTCCTAACACCCCCAGCGAGGCTGGGGCAAGGGGGCAGAGCCAGGAACCGGGAGACAGCGACCCTGTAAGCCTCCTTACTGGCACTCCACCAGGGGCAGGGATCCTGGGAGGCCCCTGACTCACTGCCTGCCCCGCACAACACGAACCCTGGCCCTTACCAGTCCTGCAGTTTCAGGATCCCCGCAGCCAGAGGCCCTGCCTGCATGGGGCTCAGGCGGCTGAGGGTCTGTGCTGCAGTCTCCCACAGGCCAGGGTTAGAGCTGGGCACAGAAGAGCTGCAGAGGAAGCCCCAGAAGACAGCGTCACCCCTCCGTCCAGCCCACACCAGGCCCAGCGGCGCTGGGCGTGCCCGGCGCAAGACAGGAGGTCGTTCCCGGCGTGCAGGCTCTCAGACCCCCTAAGGGGTTCCCCGACTCGAAGCAGCCTTCTTGGGGGGCCGATGAGCCACGGCCCCGGGTGTGATGGCCACCCAGAGACCTCGAGGAAAACTAGCAGCGGCCCCCCCCGCCCCGCCCACCCTGCAGCTGCACCCGGGGGCCTGACCGGGCCACGCTGAGGAGGAGCTCCACGAGCGCGTGGGGGGCTGGCATGGGGTCCTTCTCAAGCAGGCGGGCCACGAGGGGGCTCAGCTGCACCCAAAGGCCCTGCGTCCAGAGGCCGTGGCAGTGCCCGAACGCGGTAGTCAGCACGTGCAGGGCCTGCGTGACCCGCGGGGCGGCCTCGGAGCACAGGCAGTCTTCGAGGTGACACACGATCCTCTGGGCACAAGCCGGCCAGTCCTGGGCCTGCAGGCGGCCATGCCCCTTGGCGGGGCCACGCATGGCCAAGTCCAGGACGTGCACCAGCAGCTGCCCGGCAGCGGAGGCCACGAACAGGCTGGGGTCTCCCTGCAGGGAGAAGATGGTGTCAACAGCACCTGGGGGGGACAATGGGGCGAGGGGGGGAGAGAAGGATTCAGCTGGGACAGCGGCCGCGGGGCAGCAGGGAAGCTGGAGATGCCGAGGGGCCTCCAGCACTGGGACTCAGAGCCTGAATCCCGCCCACTGGGGAGGCAGGGTGGGAGGCCCAGCCTCCCCTGCTCGGAGGCTGGAACCCGCTGGGGGTTCAGGGGCGGGGCTTGAGAACCCTGGCCACCTTGGAGCCTTCTAACCAGTCTCAGAGCCACCCCAGCTCTGAGTCTGACCCACAGACCAGAGCACACCGCACAGCCTAGAGGGGCCCCCAACACCTGATCACCCCGAGCGTTCCTCTCAACAGCCCAGTGACACCACGGCCACTCTCCTGTTCAGAGGAAGAACCCAGCGAGGCCCAGCGCGTCCCGGGGCTCACACCGCGCGGGACGGGGCCGGCGGGCACTCACCCGAGTCGGCGAGGAAGCGCAGGGCACTGGGGTGCTGAGCCAGGGAGCGCAGGCCCTGGATCCAGCCGCTGCGCACGGTGGGGGCCGCCCAGGCCGCTGCCCCGAGGGGGCCGTGCTCCCCAAAGAGCCCGGGCAGCAGCTCCCCCTGCTGGAAGCGGAGGAGGAAGGAGTGAGTCCAGCTCGGCCTTCCAGGGGAGAGAACTTGGGAAGGAAGGGCCGGGTGTCACACTCAGGCTCCGATCCTGCCACAGTCCGCTCCAGAAGACCCTCCCGCAACACCCACCGGCAGAAACACCAAAGGACCCCCCTGACCATGACATCCTGTGCCCGAAGACCCCGGCCACTGGGCTCTGCGCTTGGCACGCGGGTCACGTGCCCTCCTCCAGATGTCCCCCACCCCAGACTCCCCAGCACACCCCGTGTCAGGCCTGCCCTGCACATATAGCCCTTCCGACCCAGCTGCGAGCCCATGGCCCCTGAAACAAAGGACCCCCCTGACCATGACATCCTGTGCCCGAAGACCCCGGCCACTGGGCTCTGCGCTTGGCACGCGGGGCACGTGCCCTCCTCCAGATGTCCCCCACCCCAGACTCCCCAGCACACCCCGTGTCAGGCCTGCCCTGCACATACACCTGCTCATAGCCCTTCCGACCCAGCTGCGAGCCCATGGCCCCTGAAGCTGGCCCCCGCCCCCCCCCACGCCTGCAGCAGGCACTGCCCGACTCCCCGCTCACTGCCCATCTGCGCACGGGTGCCCACCGGCAACACAACAGCACGCCGCCCTGACCCCCGCCACGTGCCCGAGATTCCTGTTCCCCACGGGGCCCAGCGCGGTGAGTGGGAAACTCGGGGGCTGCCTCTCTCCCCCGGAGCCCCTCCCTGGGCTCGTGACTTGCTCAGAGCCTTGTCTATCTTGACAATAAAAGGCTGGTCCCCACCCTCAAGGGACGGGATCCCTCTAATCATCCCAGACTCCGGGTGAGGGATCCCCGGGCCGAGGAGACACTCTTTCAGTCACTGCGGGATGAGTCTGACCCCACGATGGCCTTACGGGGCGCCGCTGCTGGTGGCAGCCCACAGGGAGGCCCTCTGTGGGATCACCCGTCATCTAGATAGCCCCCCCCAGTTACAGCCCTCCTGGGGGCCGCCTGCAGCCAGCGGGAGGGCACCAATGCTCAGCCCCCAGCCTCACATCGTCTGTCCGCACGCCCCCTGCCCCGACGGGGCCCATGCTGAGCATCTCGCTGACGAGCGGCCCTGAGAGCTGCCAGACCCCCTGGGGTTCTGTGAAAGGGCAGTCGAAAAGCGAACAGGAGCCCAAGCCAGTGCCAGGGGCCCAGGGCAGAGGGCAAGCTCCCTCTGCGACGCAGGGCCCAAACCTGCCGTGTCCCTTGTCCCCGCGTGCAGGGGCCCGCCAGCAGAGAGGAGGGCAGCCCCTGGCCTGCAAAGCCTCCACAGCCACGGTTGGCTGCGGGAAGGAAAAAGAGGACGTGGAGAAGAAGAGATGGGAAGCGGGGAGCACCCAGGAAGTCAGAGAAGCTGGGGAAATCCACGTGACTGGGACTGAGCATTTGTTTTCAGAGAAGCAGATGGTGTGCCAGACCACGCCGCCAGCCTGACTCCTCAGGGCCCGCTGTGAGCCCTGCCGGTTCTGCGGGGTTCCTCTATGGAGCCTTCGCTGTCTCCTCGCCCGGAGACAGAGGTGAAGGCTCCTGACTTGCTTACTGGCCAGGGCTCTCAGGATAACCCGGACACGATTCTGCAAACGCCGAGGTATGTACGGAAGGATGATCAGACATGAGGTCATTTCCTACAACAGGCTTCGGTGTAGAACACCCTGGAAAGTCTGCCCCACGGTTAGCTGGGGTGGGTGGGGCCCCGGGAGCTTGCACTGCTGAACTGAGGGGCGCCCACGAAGGCTGCAGAGACCCAACCCCAGCTCTGTCTGATTCCAAAACGTTCACCCTTCACCCCAACCCATTCCTGGTGAGTTTTTCAAAGGAGGACTCTGCGCAGGAATGAAAACCCTGTGCAGCACGTCAAGGAACGGGGGCGAAGCGAGTTTCAGAGACCAGCGGTCATGACAGCCACCTGCTCTGTGCAGCTGCTGGAGAAAGTGGGTCCCACAGGTGGGAGAACCCAGGCTTACCTGAAGGTACTGGAAGCAGTTCTCCTGGGCTGCAAACGTCCCTGCGAGGCGGAGTGCGAAGGACAGGATTCTGGAACTCAGGTCCTGGGGCTTCAGCACATGGAAGAGCAGCTCCACCAGGCAGGGGTTTTCCTGCAGTAACAGGAGACTGGACCCTGGGGACAGGCCCAGCCGGGAAGCACGTTACCAGGGCACCGTGCATGCCTCCAAAAGGGACCGTCATTCTGGCAACTCCCAGACCTCCTCTCTCAGGCTGTCAGACTCAGCAGTCCGACCGGGAGGAAGTATTTGCAACAACTGCTTCAAAGGATTCATTACTCTAATTCAACGACACCTCAACAACAGGCAAGGGACTTGGACAGGAAATACAAATGGCCAGCAAACCTGAAAAGATGTTCTGTCCTGCTGATTATGAAAAAAAGACACAAATAAGAGCAGCAGACAATCTTCACCTCTCCAGTGGGTAACTTTCTCTTAAATGGAGAGCACTAAAGCAACACACACAGGGAACAGGCATTCTCCTCCAGACACGGCACCTGAAATGTCTTCACACCACAGCAGCAGTACTCACAACCAAGACACGCAAGCAACGAAACGTCCATCAACAGATGAACAAAGATCTGGTTCCACTGCATATACACAATGGAATACTACTCATCACAGAAAGAATGAAACAACGCCATCTGCAGCAACGCGGATGGGCCTAGAGATTGTTGTCCTAAGTGAAGTGAGTCAGACAAATATTGTCTGATATCACTTACAGGTGGCATCTAAAAAAACGATACAAGTTAACTTATTTGCAAAAGAGAAACAGATTCAGAGACAAAGAAAACAAATGTATGGTTCCCAAAGGGGAAGGTGAGGGGATAAATTAGGAGTTTGAGATTAGCAGATACAAACTACTATATTTAAAATAAACAAGGGCCTACTGTATAGCACAGGGAATTACATTCAACATCTTGTCATAAACTATAATGGAAAACACTCTGAAAAATAGTGTGTGTGTGTGTGTGTGTGTGTGTGCGTGCACAGACACCTATTGTTGTTGTTTAGTCACTAAGTCGTTTCTGACTTTGTGACCCCATGGACTGCAGCCCGCCAGGCTCCTCTGTCCATGGGCTTCTCCAGGCAAGAATACTGGAGTGGATTGCCATTTCCTTCTCCAGGAGATTTTTCTGACCCAGGGATTGAACCCGAGTCTCCTGCATTGGCAGGTGGACTTTACTGAGCCACCAGGGAAGCCTATATACTCTAACCCTAATTTGTGGGTGAGGAAATATCATGAAAAGCAAGGGAGGATCTCTAAGATGTAGGGGAACGACCCCAGACAGACGGCCTCTTCCTAGCACAGGGGAGCCCTGCACCCTCTGGCCTCCGGGGAGAGTCGGCAGCCACCCTCAGCCTACCTGCTTCAGTGACTGCTTTAAACCAGTCCAGCAGTTTCTCCAAACAAGTGTCATCTGCCACGGGCTGCCTGGGGTCTGCCAGGACGGCACAGAGAGCCGGGAGGAGCCGGGCGCACTCTGGGTCCATGATGGGGCTAGGGTCCCTGCAGAGGAGATGTCAGGCAGGGCCAGACTCCAGCCACCGGGTCACAGGCAGCCCCCACCCCACCAGGCCCTGGGACTTTCACCGGAGGCCAGGTGATCACTCTTCAGAGGGAAACTCCCAGCTGCCAGGACAGCGGTGAAGCCTCAGCTGGGGTGAGATTGGAGGCTGTCAAGAGCAAACTGGAGCCCTCGAGTCTGGCGGTGGAGACGGGAGTCTGGAGTAAACCATGCGGCCTCAGGAGCTCAAAGGCAGCCAACTCTGGACTCTGGTGGGAGGAAATGACCGTGAAATTGATCTAGGCTGCAGGCCTGTCAGAGCCAGGGGCGCATGCGCGCTCCGGGGCCAGCCACGTGTAGAAGGCTGAGCGGATTAGTCAGTCAGAGCTGTAGGGGTCTCAGTCCAGCTGGGAGGTGTCTGTCGGTCAGTCCCTCCCAGGGTCAGTGTGAAAACCCTGCAGCCAGCAGTGTGCGGAGGGGAAGGCGCTCTGCCCACTGCCGGTTCCTCCCGGGACTGCAAGCGCACCTGCGAGTCTGGCCTGGGAGGGGGCCCGGGAGCCCGTCGGTCCTGTGGTCAGGGAGGGCTCTCGCGGGAGGATGGGGGTGTCCAGTGACTCTGTCTGCCGGGGTCTAGAGCAAGCCTGGGGCGTCCGTCTGTCCATCCCTGGCCAGGCTAAGTACTTGAGGAAGGCGCCCTCCCCGTGGACCCCACGGAGGACGCCAGGCCGGCGGTTGCGGTGGTGCTGGGGCCCAATCCAGGGGCGCGCACGCGGGCCCCAGGCGGTTCTCCGGCCCGGGAGGCCCTGGCCCCTAACCTCGACCCCGCCGGGCCCTCCACAGTGACCGCGACCCCTCCCCGGGTGCGTACCTCACCCGCTTCGCTTCCCTCAGCCGCCGCAGGCCCCGCCCCGGGCCGCGCGACCTGCCGGGACTGGAGGAGGCGAGGACGGGGAGGACGCCCCTGGAGGCCACTCTGAGAGCCCCAAAGGCCCAGGCTCAGGGAACGGGCTCAGGAGGAGCGGGACAAGCCGCCGCCAAGCCCGTTACCCGGACCCGTCACCCGACCAGGGCGCTCAGAGGTGTGTGCACCGGAACCCAGCACGCTTTGCGCCTGGAAGGCGTGGCTTTCGGCGGAAGGGGCGTGGATACATGTGAGGGGCGTGGCCTCGCCGGCCAAAGGTCCGCGTGTCTGGGCGGGCCACCGAAGCCAAACGCTAGCCGTGCAGCAGGAACGGCTTCCTCCATTTACAGAGGGGTTTCATCCTGACTAAATTCAGAATGCATTTACTGTCCCTGCCCCACCAGCGTCATCATCCTACCACACCACCTGCCCGGTGTGCGGACTCCATCTGTGTCAGACTGCGCGCACTCTGGAACCCGCAGCTGCTGTAAGCACTTTCGGTTCGGTTCAGTTCAGTTCAGTTCCGTCGCTCAGTCGTGTCCAACTCTTTGCGACCCCACGGACTGCAGCACGCCAGGCCTCCCTGTCTATCACCAGCTCCCGGAGTTTACTGAAACTCACGTCCATCGAGTCAGTGAGGCCATCCAACCATCTCCTCTGTCGTCCCCTTCTCCTCCGGCCTTCAGTCTTTCCCAGCATCAGGTCTTTTCCAATGAGTCAGTTCTCTGCATCAGGTAACCAAAGTATTGGAGTTTCAGCTTCAGCATCAGTCCTTCCAATGAATATTCAGAACTGATTTTCTTTAGGATGCACTGGTTGGATCTCCTTGCAGTCCAAGGGACTCTCAAGAGTCTTCTCCAACACCACAGTTTAAAAGCATTAGGCACTCTGGTCTTCACAACAGCTCTTTCCTTCCTTTTATATTAGAGGACACAAACCCAGAGAAGTTGTCACTCACCGGTCACCAAATACCTACTGATAAATCACCTGTTGCGTGCCAGATACTGTTCCAAGGGACGGTGATACAGTTGGGAGCAAAACAAGGCCCTGCCCCAGAGAGCTTACATTCTAGACAAGGGGAGTTCTTGTAGATAATAAAGGTCAGGGGGCTGGAAAAACACAGCAGGGCAGGGAGACAGAGTAAATGCCCTTGGAGGCCTGTAGGAAGATAAAGGGCAGATTATGTTTGCTAATTGTTTAAATGAAACTTGCAGCCCAACGCGCCCAAAGATCTTCATGATTCACACTGAATACAGTGAGTGCAAACGCTGTTCTTTTTTTTCTTGTTCTGTGACTGCATTATAACCCTTGAGCCTAAGATCTTTCTCTTTCTTTTTTTTTGGTCCTGTGACTACATCATAGGATTTAGGCTACCCACTCCAGTATTCTTGGGCTTTCCTTGTAGCTCAACTGGTAAAGAATCCACCCGCAATGAGGGAGACCTGGGTTCGATCCCTGGGTTGGGAAGATCCCCTGAAGAAAGAAAAGGCTACCCACTCCAGTGTTCTGGCCTGGAGAATTCCATGGACTATACAGTCCATGGGGTTGCAAAGAGTCAGACACGACTGAGCGACTTTCTTTTTTTTTTTACATCATAACCCTTGAGCCTAAGATCCGAGATTAGGAAGATGGTTTTCTCAATGCCAGGCGTTCAGAGCTAGCAGGTTTGGACACAGAACAGGCTCCCTGTCCCTTTCAGCGTTAACCTACTAAATATTTATTAATAACTAGCTCTGGTGACTAGCGCGCAGGGTCGCGGTGCCACCTCGGCGGCAGAACGCTGTTCCAGCTCCGCCCTGCTCTCCGCCCCACACTCTGGGCGCGCAGCCGGTCGGCCAGAGGGTGTCCCCGGGTACAGGTAGAGTCGGCCGGGCTCGCCACATCCGGGGCTCGGCGGGCTGGCGCCGTTGCCATGGAAGCGGGGTCGCGGCGGGCGCGCGGGCCGGCGGAGAAGCTGCGGGCAGCCGGGTGGCCTGCGGAGCCCCAGAACCGGACGGCCGCGCCCGCCGCGCCCGGGGGCGATCGGGCAGCGCCGCCGCCATGTCGCTGGGCACCGCAGAGCCGGGCTCGGAGACGGTAAGCGCGGACGGCGGGGGCGGGGAGCGCCCTCGATGCCTCCCATGCCGGGGCGAGGGCCGGAGGGAAGAGGTGCAGGGCCAGCGGCCGCCGGTGACCGCAGCCATTATTGTTACCGCATAAGAGCGGATCTCTGGCCGCCGCCCCTCGCCCAGCCTCCAGCCTCCTCTAGTTCCCCACTCGTCCTTGCCCTGGCCGCCGCTTCCAGGAAGCCCTCCCGGACGCTGCGCCCTCGCCGCTCGGCGCCTGCGAAGCCGGGCTTGAGCGGAGCCTGCGATCGCGGCCCGCCTGGGTGACGGAGCTCACTGCGTAAGTGCCCGCCCACCCGGCGATTCCCGGGCTGGGGGCCTCGGACGGGGCGAGGGACCCGAGCCGTGCCGGGTGTGAAGGAGGAACCCCAGGCGCCGATCAGGGCAGGCTTCCCGGAGGAGGTGCCGCCCGCCCAGGGTGGCTCCCCCGGGTCAGAGCGAGCGTGTTCTCAACTCTTCCTTCACCCAGTGTTTCTGGGGCGTCAGCCATCAACTGTAGATACCACTGTGGGCGAATACACTGCATTCCGGTGGCGGGGTGACGGGACCCGGGGTGGGGGTGAGGGAAAACAAGGCAAAAAACAAACAAACCGCAAAACGAATCGTGTCCATCAAGTCAGAAAGTGCCCTGTAGAAAATAAAACAGCCCATGTAAGGGAGGCGGGGTGGTGGGCTGCTTTAGGTTGGGTGCCAGGAGCAGCCCCTGAGAAGTTGGAGTGTCCTTATGTCCCGGATGAAAAGGAGGCAGCCAGGTGAAGATCTGAGGTACCGGGGCCAGCAGGTGCAAAGGTCCTGAGGTGGGAAAGTGCAGGGTTCCAGGGCACGAAAGAGAGCTCGCTGGGATCTCACTGGGCGACCTGTGTGGATGGAAGGGAGCCATGGACCTGACCGCGGAGAGCCTTGCAGGCTGTGGTCCTGGTCTGAATTCACTCCTGCCACAGTGGGAAGGGTTTGGAGGGCTCCAGGCAGAGGGCGCTTAACTCACGGTTGCTTCCTTCTCTGGGAGGAGATGGCAGAACCCAGCAGGGCTGCCCGGCGCTCTCCCCAAGTGGGGACTCAGGGCTCCTGCCACTTGTCCCCCAAGGCACCGAGTCCAGCCTCCCCTGGAAGTCCTGCCGCCTGCTCTGGTCTCAGTTACTGCTTCTTCACCTTTAAAAAGTAGCTCCTCATACTGTGACTGTAAAGGTTATTCATGCCCCGTAAAGAAAGTCAATTACCCGTACTCTAACTGCCTACAGAAAACCACAGTTAATGTTTGGTATATTTCTTTTTTTTTTTAGTTCTACCACTTTATTGCTACCAACCCATCTCCTTCCACCTTTGTGCACACATGCTTAGTCATGTAATCCCATGGACTGCAGCCCGCCAGGCTCCTCTGTCCATGGACTTTTCCAGGCAAGAATACTGGAGTGGGTTGCCATTTCCTTCTCCATGGTATATTTCTTTCTGATATTTTTTCAATGCATTTTTTTCTTCCCATATGGCTTTTAAAATTTGGGGCCCTATTTATATTGTTTTGTAATTCTTGCCATTTAATTTACTGTTAGCATCTTCCCATACCTACGTTTTCAAAAACATGTTTTAAAAACTAAGTTTATATATATATGTAAAACTGAATCACTTTATTGTATACCTAAAACTAATGCAACATTGTAAATCAACTATACTTCAATTTAAAAAAGAGAGAGTCAGCCTTCTTAGTGCAGTGGGCAGCGCGTCAGTCTCATAAAAAAGAGAAAGAGAAATACATCAAACAGATAAAGACAAATGCTATATGATCTCATGTATATATGGAATCTCAAAAAGCTGAATTCTTTTTTTTTTTTTTTTCATTTATTTTTATTAGTTGGAGGCTAATTACTTTACATCATTGCAGTGGTTTTTGTCATACATTGAAATGAATTAGCCATGGATTTACATGTATTCCCCATCCCGGTCCCCCCTCCCACCTCCCTCTCCACCCCATCCCTCTGGGTCTTCCCAGTGCACCAGGCCTGAGCACTTGTCTCATGCATCCAACCTGGGCTGGTGATCTGTTTCACCCTAGATAATATACATGTTTCGATGCTGTTCTCTTGAAACATCCCACCCTCGCCTTCTCCCAGAGTCCACAAGTCTGTTCTATACATCTGAGTCTCTTTTTCTGTTTTGCATATAGGGTTATCGTTACCATCTTTCTAAAGTCCATATATATGTGTTAGTATACTGTAATGGTCTTTATCTTTCTGGCTTACTTCGCTCTGTATAATGGGCTCCAGTTTCATCCATCTCATTAGAACTGATTCAAATGAATTCTTTTTAATGGCTGAGTAATATTCCATGGTGTATATGTACCACAGCTTCCTCATCCATTCGTCTGCTGATGGGCATCTAGGTTGCTTCCATGTCCTGGCTATTATAAACAGTGCTGCGATGAACATTGGGGTGCACGTGTCTCTTTCAGATCTGGTTTCCTTGGTGTGTATGCCCAGAAGTGGGATTGCTGGGTCATATGGCAGTTCTATTTCCAGCTTTTTAAGAAATCTCCACACTGTTTTCCATAGTGGCTGTACTAATTTGCATTCCCACCAACAGTGTAAGAGGGTTCCCTTTTCTCCACACCCTCTCCAGCATTTATTGCTTGTAGACTTTTGGATAGCAGCCATCCTGACTGGCGTGTAATGGTACCTCATTGTGGTTTTGATTTGCATTTCTCTGATAATGAGTGATGTTGAGCA